AAAAAAATATGACATAGGGAACTAACTCTCAAAACGAAAAAAAGTGTGCAGATGAGATGTGCTCTGTGGAGCTCTGGGTGGGAGTGTCACGTCACACACACACACACACACACACACACAGAGAGAGAGAGAGAGACGCTGAAGGAGGAAGCATGAACCATCTGCATCTCTTTTCATCTGACGTGTGTTTTAACCCTCATGATGGCGAGACTGAGCGAACACGGGATCCGGCTGAGCTCTGTGTGTAGTGTACTCTTTCTTAACTTCTCTAAAGTCTTCTCTCACGCTCTACGATGTACTTTACGATGATTGTATTGTTTAATGTTGTTTTTATAGATGAGCCCGTCGTACCTGGAGAGCAACTCCACCAGTCACACATGGCCCTTCAGTGCGGTCGCAGAACTCATCGGTGAGCAAAACACAAATGCATTCATCTATTCAGAGGAAAAACTCAGGTTTTGTCAGGAACTGGCGATACTTTCGGTTTAAACTTTCGCGAATCTCATAGACAATAAATGCGCACATCACTTGCGCACCTGTTGCAGCTCTTTTTAAGGCAAACTACAGTACCTTACGGATAATGCTTACATGATAATTAATGGCGTAATGTTAAAACTCAACACGCATAATGCATTTTGCGCCGTAAAGTTGCGTTTTGGATTAAATGCATAGTGGATCCGAACACTTACAATGTCTGAATGTCATTGCATTTAATAATAAAATACAACATAGAGCAACACTATGGTTAGTTTCGTGTCCCAGTGAATGCATAAACTGATTTAGTTCGGATAAAAGCATCAAATGCAAATAAAAAAATTAAAATTAATGTAAATAAAGCCAATTACGAACACTTTACAAGCAAAGCATTTATCAAAAATAGGGTTGTTGGGTTTAACGTTACTAAAACTATAGATGTAGTGTTCAAATGAAGACTAATGAAAGAATTATGTGTCGCTTGTGTTTGTGAAACGTGATGAACTACACCTGCGGTTTCTCTGCTGGGATAGATGGTTTATGGTAAAGGCTGATGGAAATATGTAAAGCTTTCAGGGTCGGATCTCAGTACCGTTAGAGACAGGTGTCAGGAAACTGCGTTCCTGTCGTGCTTGCTTTTGATTACTTAATGATCAAGATAATAATATTTCTGCAGTTTCCTCTTGACTTCCTGTTAAACGGCTTGTGTGTCTTTTTAGGTTGTAGGTTATATTAAGAGATCTGCATTTTTGCCATGGCTTGCAGTTTAAGAGAAAACAGAAAGTTCTGCAAAAAGCATTCATGTTGTGCATGTACAATAATTCATGCAGTTGTACTCAAATTATATACACTTTTCTGTGTGTGTTGTAGATAATGCATCTGACCCAGGAGTCACAGCCAAGAACATATGGATTGATGTTGTGACGGTCAGAGAACAGCTGTGCCTCAGTTTTATGGACAACGGGAGCGGTATGACGCCCAACAAACTGCACAAAATGCTCAGGTGTGTGAAAACAGACACGAATGATGCCTCAAGCCTTGTTGAGGAGAGACATTTTGTGAAAAGAAATCTCTCTTTTTTTTCACAGCTTTGGATTCACAGAGAAAGGCTCCAGTAAAAGCAGTCATCAGCCCATCGGCGTATATGGAAATGGGTTTAAGTCAGGTTCAATGCGTCTTGGCCGCGATGCTCTGATCTTCACAAAAAATGGTGGCTGTCAGAGCGTGGGCATGTTGTCTCAAAGCTTCTTACAGGCCATTAAAGCTCAGGCTGTGATCGTACCCATCGCCCCGTTCAACCAACAGACCAATATCCTTCTGTTCAGTAGAAATACGGGTCTTTCAACTCAAGACTTGAACATTTTTCTGTTTGATTAACCCTCCTGTTGTGTTCAAAAGCTTTTGTGTTTGGGGTCAAACTAACTCACATTGGTTTGCATACAATTAGCCAAAATCACTTTGAAAAACACTAAATATTCATATAAAACAGAAAATGTCTATTCTAGCTTGTTAGAGAATACAAAATATAAAATATGTGAGAAATGTAATATTTTCCTTGGATGATTCAGAAGACGAGTCTCAATTTCGAGTAAACTTTGATTCCATAAGTTCTCATGAACTTCATATTTGAGTGTTGGACAAGCTACAATAAAGTTTATTTCACTTCACTCTATAGTGTTCTTTAAAGTGTTAATTGCATGGAAACCAATGGGGGTCGATAGGGGAGTCAATGAGTCCCCAACACAAAAGTCCTAACAATTTTTGTATAGCCTTTTCAAAACACATCTATGTGTCAAAATTTTGCATGCACATTCTTGACCATAAATGATACATTTTCACCACATTCCAAGAAGAAATAAATAGTTTAACCAGTATTTTGAACAGTTGAAAACTAGTTGGAGTCAAATACACAACAGGAGGATTAAAGAAAAAATAAGATGCGTGTATTTGTTTTGCATGCATGTGCATGTACTCTTTGCATACAGATTGTAGACAAGTAGACTATATGCATAGACTATATACATACAGAAAAAATAAGATGCATGTATTTGTTTTGCATGCATGTGCATGCACTCTGTGCATATAGACTGTAAACGGATGTCTCAGTGGGACAAAACATTGCCTTTAACTCCTGCCTCACAGGCGCTGGTGGTAACAGAGGATTCAGAGGCGAGTCTGAGAGCCATCCTGAAATATTCTCTCTTCCAGAGTGTCTCTGAGTTACAAGAGCAATTGGACTCCATTCAGGGCAAAAAAGGAACCAAGATACTCATCTGGAACATCCGCAGGTCTGTCATCTGGTAGTTTTCAAACTACTTTGCCAGAGTTGCATGTCGTAGTGAAAGATGATGTTACAGAGCAAATGCAGACAGGAGAACCATTATGTTCAGTGTCATAATTAATTTGCATGTGATTTACATGTTGCATGCAGGTGAGTGTACTGACTCTGTCATAACAACACACTCCTGATTTGTGTTTGTTTTGAATATAATATACCCTGAACTGCTTCAGTTCAATGAATCAAGTCATTTTAATCACCCTGAAGCATGTGATTCTCTCAACTCTAACAAATAGTATATTTAAGCAATCAGATATGCAACTGGCTACTTTCTAATCATATTTCTGTGTTTACTTGCATTTTTGAGTACATTTACAAGCTTTTATCTCAGATACCTATGGAAGCCAATTCCCACTATGGAATAAAAAATCAATAAAGGTAACTTTTTATTTCACAGTTTGGACTTTTCCTTACAACTCTTGAGTTTATATCTCACAATTCAGACTTCTGTCTCACAATTCAAGACAGAACACAAGATAACTCGCAATTACATTACATTTCATATATCTTGCTATTATAAGTTTACATTTCACAATTATAAAATTTTCTTTAAATTCTAAGTTTATACCTCAAAATTCTGAGTTTATATCTCACAATTCTGACTTGTTTAAAGTCCGAATTGTCAGATAAAAAGTTGCATTCTTTTTATCTCATGCTTCCATAGATATCTGGACTTTTACAGTGTTTCACTTTATTTGATGGACATTTTTTTGGTTTGAATGGTATATTTTGTGATATATGTTTATTAGCCA